GTTGTTATCCTGCACCTTTACAATCCATCCGTGGACCCCGTTTTACAATATCATTAACAGAGGGAAGTCTTTGCAAAGACAATTATCATGTAGCTTTGGAAAAGCAATGATTAATACACATGATATGAAGCCTTTCTGAGCACCTTGTCAGTTCCTTATTTCTTATTCCTTTTCTTTGTGTACAATAATTTTTCACAGAGTGAACAATCTGGATAAACTTCTCTCTCTTGACAAATGCAGCGAGTGTATGACTTTGAATTGTGTAAAGCCTCCTGCTGCATGTCATCAGACAAAAGGGGAGACATGTACTTTCTTCTATTCTTTTTATTGGAACAATAGAAGGGTCCTCATCCTCTGTAGTGAACTGTCAAATAGTCACATTCTGTGTTCCAGGGGTCCGTGTCATGAAAAAGGGTCAACAAAGTCTGACTTCAAGAGTAGTCTCAGAGTTGATCTACTCTCAAGTTGGAAAATCTGAGTTTTGGGTTTCTCAACTTTGCTGAGTCAGTTCAGTCACTCTGTTACACACCCGGTTACTTCCAGGTGAACATACTCAAACGTTATAAAGCCAATAATCAATTAAACCCCGATTCAATGAGTCACCATGACAGCAGGCATTCGGCACTTATTTCACTACAGCAGAAATAGAAACTTTAATGCAAGTGTAGGGAGTTTCAATCTTTTAAAAGAGCAACAGAACTGCAGCTGCAAAGCAGGAGAAGATTGCTGCTGGAGGGAATGAGAGAGAGGATGAGGAATCAGAGAGGATGAGGGAATTAGAGTAAGGATGAGGGAATAAGGGAGGACGAGGAATGATCGTCAGGTTTCTGTCCTGAGAACTCAGGGTGAGCCCAAACCTCCAGGGTGCAGTTTGCCGGTTCACCTCTATGGTGCCAAACCAGCAGCAGAGGCCCCATTATGGTGGTCAGTGGATGGAGTCCCTCTGCTTATCAGGAGAAGATTTCCTGAGCTCCAGCTGAGCTGCTCGAGTTCAAATTCAAAAAGGTGCAGCTGGTTAATGATTACAACCATAAAGGCGCTGCCCTCTGGTCTGAGCTGAGCCTAGAGCCATGCCAGAAGCTTGGGAAGCTCAGCAGCTCTTCCCAGACCTGGCCCAGATCCGGGCCAGACCTGGTCCAGACCTCCTTTCTCCCTTGAATGGTGTTTTTTTCTGCCTGTGGTGCGTTCAGGCTCTCCGTTGATTCCTCTGCCTGTGGTGTGTTCAGGCTCTGTTCAGTCCTCTGCCAGTGGTGCGTTCAGGCTCTCTGTTAACCACAGTGCTCTGAACCAGGAAAATACAGCCTTTGAATGGGGGCCTTTGAATGGGATTTTCCTCCAAGTCACCATAAAAACTGACTTCTGACCCCAGATTATGATGCTGAACTTGTGTCACATGTTGAAAACACTCCCTGCTGCAAAAAGAAGTACATATGAGTTTAATTTCCGGGACCTACTTTGTATGTTAAAATATTTGTATTTTGGTTAAATACTCTCATCAATACACTGTCATTTGTAAAATTCGTTCCACAGCCCAAAAAGCTATGATAACTCCTTAATAAATACTGCAGATAATTACACATAGCAATAAAACAAATTCATTATACAAGTGAGATGTAAAAGGAAATAAATTATAAAGAAATAATCCATAAAAAGGGGGGTTAATTGGCCTTTTACCTCAGAGACTTGAGAAAGGAGGTAGGGTATGTCCTGTATCTCCACCTCTAACTTACTCTTACTTTCACTACATGAACTTTAAACTAACTTAGCTTATTTATCTTTATTGAATATTTACATATTCTATTTGTTTTTTTTTTACTTTGAAAAAAGCTTAGAAAAAACGTGGACTTGGAAATTCACTAAGGGTGTCGAATCGCACATCTAATAGAATTTTTCTTCGTATGATGGAAAATTCCTATGTTTAGGCAATCGGAAGTAGAGGTTCTACTGCACAGAAAATTATTGGGTTTGTTTCCCTGGTTACCTAAACAGATATGAAATGTTAATACTTAAACTCCTGAGAGCAAAGCTCTTATTTCTTTTCAGATCTCTGGATCAGTAGGAGCTGTCTAAGAACTAAACTTTTTCCTGGTACAGGCCATTTTTCTTCATAAAAGCTCAGTGGGTTTTGTCTTTAGATTTTAAATGTCTGTTTAGATATTTAATGAAGTGTTTTTGCAGTTTGGTTCTTAAGGTCCAAATGACTTATTTACAACATTTTAATTGCACAATAAAAACACGATTGGTGTAAAATGTCTAAAAGCATTTCTTTTAGATTTCAAACAGTAAAAAAGCAATAAAAGCTGACATTTCTGAGCTCTTTGAACACAACAATGACTTTTCTCCACCTAAATACCTAAAAATCTTATTTTTAAGTGATTTTCTAAAGAATTCCCCACACTGATGTTCCTCCCCACTTAGGAGAGGATACTGTGTATGATCCATTTTTCTCATGTCCCATTTGACATCCTGCCCTACTCCCATTGGCCCGTTTGGATAAAATGTCTAAAAGCATTCTCCTTTAGATTTCTTTTTTAAATTTTATTATCATCTTTTCCCTTGTGGTGTTCAGCATTATGGCAACAAAATCAAAATCTGGGTGCCGTGCACTACCCAACTTTTACTTTGCTAAGGGAAGCTTGTTCTGGCGCTGTGTAGACGGCTGCCTCTCCAGTATCTTCTGGTAACCTTAATTTCCTGAGGGAGTCTTCCCAAGGGATCAATAAAGTTCAGTCTAAGTCTAAGTCTAAGTCAGGATGAAAAGCCTCCCTTGATAATCCAACACTGCTTTATTATTTATTTAAGACGTATTTTTGTTACAGAAGTAAGATGAATAATGCCAAACCAGACAGGGGGACAAGAAAAGAGAGAAAAGAAGGGAGAGAGAAAAAAAGACAACAAAGCCATACAATCAGCTGCTGTATCTGTAGAAAACAAAAAAATATCCTGAGGGAGAACCTGTAACCTGCACCTGCAAACAGACACTAGGAAGAGACACAAAAAAAAAAACTAGCAGCAAAAACACTCTGGGCGGACCCGAGGGAGAATTTCCACAACACTGCTTATCTTTTAATTTAAAGCCAGCAATCTTCTGAAGAAGAGTCTCCTCTGATGGACTCCGGTGGTCCCCAATCAGACACATCCTCAGGGTCTGCCAATCAGGGTCACAGCTCCATTCGATAGCCCCATTCTTATATTGGAATAAAAACTGAGAATAAATGATCAGAGTACAAACGTGCAATTTTTTCATGTCACAGGTAAAGTATATCACACTGGGCTCTAACTGACAAAGCTCCCTGAGGACCTCGAACAGAAAAGACCCCAGAGTTCCAGGTGTGGTGGACTTATTGGCCATGACCCTCTGACCTGATCAGGAAGCTCCCAATGCATGCAGGACCCACTGAGATGTGATAAGCTGTGTCAGCCTTTGATGTAACTGTAACCATAGTGATATCACTGTTTGATGTCATTGTGCAAATGCCTCCCTAGGTCAATGTTGAATGAAATTCCATGTTGAAAGCTGGAAGGGCTGACCAAGTGGTGAAGATAATGGACTGTTAAATCTTTGCTCTCTGCACACTCAGGTTATAATCCAACCAACAATTTTATTATGGATCAATGAAGTAAAGTTGATTCTATTTCAAAGACCTGCTGACTCTGTATCTCTGCATACACTTTTTTAAACTCTGCTCAAGGTTTTGGTCAGTAGAAAGGACAACTGCTTAACCAGCTGTTGATGGAGGTTCAAATCCTGGGCAATGCATCATAACTCAAATTTATGTCCCCAAACTGCATAGAACCATCAAGACACTAAGCATCTGAACATGTATTTCTGATGGCTTGACAGACCAGTTTTCAGAAAATCGCTATGCTCTTCTCACACTGCTCATTTTTATCCATAGATGCTAGTGGCGCAATGGATAACGTGTCTGACTACGCATCATAAGTTCAACTCCTTACTAGCTTGACAGGAACTTTTTTAAAAATCTTCCAAATACCGTGCTGACTCTTTGGGGTGGTCTCCATTAAAGGAGACATATTATACCCTATTTCAACAAGTTAAACTAGTTCCCTGGTGTCCTAATGTAATGTCTGTCACAAGCTTTGGTCAAAATACCATAAGGATGAAGCACAATCACCCTGCCAAAACAGCCCTGTTCAGAGCGTTCGGTTTTGAGTGCCTGTCTCTTTAAATGCAAATGAGACACAGGCAATCCACCCACTTTTTCCGGGAGGTGTGCCGAAGTCGGCACGCTAACGCTACCATGTTAACGCTGACGCTCACGCTACCACAACATCTGCCACAGATAGGCGGAGTAAGCTGACGTTTGCCATTTCGGATTCCTGCCTGCCCCTTGTCAGATTTGTTTGCCTCTACGACTGATCTCCTGGTTTTGACCCTGCCTGTTTGTGGACTGAGTAAACTGATTTTCCCTCACTACTTGCCTGCTTGCTTTGTCGTGCTTTTGGGTTCTCTGTTCCCTGGACCAGTAGCCGTGACATTGTGCCAGCAAGAGCCAGATTGTTGAAATCATGACTAAAACCATGCAGAAAAGTGCACGTGAATACCTTTAAAAATAGGCAAAAATCAAAGGGCACGAGAAAAAAAACATGACAAAACAGTAAACTAAGTACAAATATATAATATAATATATATAAATAACAGATTGTGGTCTGCAATAATAGCACTCATCATGTAGCAGCTCACACATACTGTACATGTATGTGAAAGGAATTAGCATAGAAATAGATCATTTAACCCCTTTTTCCAACACAGTATTTTCAACTCTAATATGTAATAAGGTCCATTTTTTAAACTCTTTCTGTTTTTTTTATTCACCAATCTACAAAATACAATTAATGAAATGCAAATTTGTCATTTTTATTTTGTCCTTCCTCACACAGTCCAAAAACCTGCATGTTAGATTGATTGGACATTCCAAATTGCCCTTAGGAGTGAATGTGAGTGTGCGTGGTTGTTAGTCCTTGTATGTCTTGTGTGTGGCCCTGCGGTGGACTGTGCAGGGTGTACCCCGCCTCTCGCCCGTTGACCACTAGGATAGACTCCAGTTCTCCCCACGACCCCATTAGGGAATAATCGGTATTGATAATGGATGGATGCAGTAAACAAATAGATAAAAGACCTTGTTGGCCACAAGAAAGAATGTAATCATCTAAAAACCTTTAAGATGATCTTTCATTGACATACTGAGTATTGATTTGCCAAAAATCCTTAATGGTTGCTCAAACATGACTTTCATAGACTTCAAAATAAAAGTAACTTCTCTAAACTTAAAAATAAAATTACATTTACTGTGTACTAAATAATATAATATAAAACAAACACAACTTAATTGAATTCTAATCAGACAATTATCTAACAAATTCTGGAATTATCATGTGTGATTATTGTGTAAAATATGCATAAATGCAACAATTGCACTTCCATTCTGCGTGTTTTTCCGCGATGTCTGGAGATTTTCTGGGCCTCCAGTTGAGATGACACTTTATCTCATGTCCACATCTTTCTCTGAGACCCGGTTCCTTCGGAGCTCTGCTGGCACAGATTTCCTGTCCAGGCTTCATTCACACAAATAACATGTAGAACGTGTCCTAAAATGCTAGATCCAATCTCTGCTTTTTTAAAATGATTTTTAACTTGCTGTAGAAATCCTATTCAAAAGAAAGAGCCAAGTGAGTAAGAAATGTATTAAAGGGACAAAATTTAATGGAGTGAGAACCATCAAGTTGCTCTAAAGTGAAACTAAATCATAATACATTTTATTGCCCTTTTTTTTTACCTTGTCCTGTTCAGCATTATGGCAGCAGAAATTACATCTATGTACCGTGCTATGCTGAACAAATTTGCTTTGCCAAGGGAGGCTTTGTTAGTGAGAAGCCCCCCTTGATTACCCAAAACTGCTTTTTTATTCATTTTTGTTACCAAACTTACATGTGTCCAATAATGCAGAACCTGATAGAGGGACAGGGAAAAAAGAAGAGCAGTGGAAAGGAGAGAGATCCTTTAGACAGATAGAGAAAGGGGAAGGAAAAAGAAAAAAAAGAAGAAGAAAGAAAGAAAGACAACAAGACCATACAACCAGCTGCTGTGTCTGTAAAAAGGACACTGTTCCTTGTGTGCAATCCGGGTAGAGAACCTGAAGGGACTCCTGCAAAAGGACACAGGAATGACAAAAGAACAAACAAGCAACAAAAAGAGCAACACTGGTAGCAGGGACATTAATGAGCTCTCAGAATTGTGCAGAAACTGTACAGAAGCTTACGGAGGCGTGTGTCTTGGTACCAGACTTTGTGTGAGTGTGTGTGAAAGAATGAGAACCCGCAGCCCAGGTTTTCCAGTTTGTGCTCAGTTATGAGCACAAACTGCTGTGTTGGCTGCCTGCTGTGTTGGCTGCCTCTCTCTGCTCCTTCTGTCCTTCTCTCGCCCTCTCTCTCTCTCTTGCTCTCTCTTTCCCCTCACCCCCAACCGGCCGAGGCAGATGGCCGCCCACCCTGAGCCATGGTTCTGCTGAAGGTTTCTGCCTGTTAAAAGGAAGTTTTTCCTTGCCTGTGTCGCCTAGTGCTTGCTCATGGTGGGAATTGTTGGGTTTCTGTAGTTAACTTCAGAGTAGGGTCTGACCTGCTCTGTTTGGAAAGCGCTGTGAGACAACTGTTGTTGTGATGTGGCGCTATATAAATAAAATTGAATTGAATTGAATTGAATTATGGTGCAGAGGGGCCACCAGCCGAAGTCCCCCCCCCCTCCAACGCTCCGAAGAGGGCAGAGAGTGCCCCCAGACCCGGTCCCCCAGCAGCCACCCGAGCACAGATCCCAGGAGGACAACCACAGAGACGACCAGGCACCAGCCTAGAAGGCAACCAAGAGAGGCCCCCAGAAGAGCCCTGTGATGGAGCGCTCCTAAGCGTCCCTCACAGACTCCACGTATCGGAGCGCGGTGCCCGGAGCGCGCGCACGGGGAGAAGTCTCTCCCACAGGAGTGCGCTGCCCGGCAAACTGCTGCGTGCAGGTCCGCACCTATGGACCGCGGTCCTGCACAGTCCCGACAAACATTCCCCCCCGTCTGAACCGGTCATCGCACGCGCGTCCGAGGGTGCACACTCGGCGCCGAGCCTCCACATACTCACCTCTCACCTCTGCGCGTTCCCGCTGTTCCGGGTCCAGGGGCCAAACGGAGCACTGCCACATCACGTTAGAAATAGCGCAGAGTAGCGCGCTTGGCAAGTCACGTGACCACGGACGTAACCATTTTTGGCATTTTGTCTTGTATTTTTATATTGTTTATGTTTTGGATGTTTTGAAGACTATATGGAGTCATTTTGGTTTATTTTGAGTTTCTATGTGGGAAACTGAGCTTTGAGTTTTTGTTATTTTGTTTTGTACTTAAAACCCCTTAATTGATATGTTGGTTTACCCGGGGGAGGGGCTAAGGGGTATTTAAAGGGGAGCTGAGCTCATTTGAAGGGGGTGCTGGATCTGATGGTGGTGTTGGCTGTCCTAGTAAGTTGTTTTGTAAATAGTCCTGTAAATAGTCCTGTAAAGTAGTCCTTGGTTTTTGTTTAATTGTTTTCACCTTGGGAGCAATAAAAAGAAACTATCACAAACAATAGTTTTCGGCTTGGCCATAATTTTTGTTATATTTTTGAACAAACCCGTGACAAGCCCCCACCACCGAAGGGCAGAGGCCCCCCCACGAACAATGAGAAACATCAAACCAGCCCCCCCAGGCCCCCCAGGCCCTGTCCTTGTTCCAGTGCCTAGTCCATCTCTGCTAAAATGGACTCCCTCAGCGCTGTATGCCAGGAATGTGACGGCGTTGCAGGGGCACTGGTTCACGCTGGTAAAAAGACAGAAATAACTGTTTAGAAAAGTCCAGATGCCGATCGACAGCCATGTGGTAAATATGAGCCAGTGAAGTTATAGTGAAAGAAAGACTTGTAAGGATGTGAAAGACAATAGACAGACATCCCATTTGGTTTATGGATCCTGTCCCAGAACTGTCAGAGTTTAAATAAATTAAAGCTCCTTGTTATCCAGCTGTGTTTGTCGCTCGCTCAGAATGAGAGGCTCCCGCAGGATGACCCTGCCTCCACTTTTGTCGTGGCTGCATCCCGGAGGCTGCTGGACGGAGACCCGGAGCAGCCTCGACTCTCATGTGGATGCTGGTCTGCAGGATTCAAAGGTTCAAAGAGCTGCTTTCACCCAAAAGGAAGCTGCTGTGCAACACCTGCGATAGAGCGTGAACATAAAGAAATGCAGCTAAAGTAGAGCGATTTTTAAAGCGACCTGTTATGAATTTTAGCAGCATAAAAAACAGCAAACAGCAAACAATAAAGATAGAAATGGAAAATGATAAGGGTCAAGTGATAACGTGAGTGAAGGAGTGTCTGGTTTGCCTTTAGCTTCCCTCAGAGGGCATATGCAGCTTAACTATTAACTGAAGCCGCACCCTGATAGATGAGCCTGGAACTCCAGCTGCCGCTCAGCTGTGACTCGCTCTGAGCCGGCAGTTCATTTCTGGGGCTTTCAGTGCTGCTTTCCTGCTCAAACCATCAGACTGGCTGTTCTCCGATGAAGACGAGCCGCTCAGCAGCTGGCAACACCACAGGCAGCTCATCCGCCACTGGGCAGGAAGTACTCATTCTAAAGAGACAAGAGCAGGAAGTGCTGCGAGGGAAGTCGTTTCCGTTTGCGTTTCCCCTCCGTAAAACTTGCAGGAGCGCCGAGGAGAGGCGGACTCTGAGGCCACTGCCCCTCCGGCTTGCTTCCACCTTCCAGACGTCTAAAGGTAAGATCTGTCTGAAGCAGCTCAGCCACACTACCATAGACCATGTCCGCAATTTTCTTTTGCCTTCGGCCATTTTGTATGTGGAACATTAGGGTCAGAGTATGTGGAACATTAGGAACTATGTTGAACAGTAGGAACTAAATGGAACATTTGGAACTAAATGGAACATTTGGAACTTAATGGAACATTAGGAACTAAATGGAACATTAGGATCTGAGTATGTGGAATATTAGGGACTAAATGGAACATTAGGGTCAGAGTATGTGGAACATTAGAAACTAAATGGAACTTTAGGATCCGAGTATGTGGAGCCTCCAAGCTGCTTAGAGTTTCCCGTTTCCTCTGTTTCTTTGCACAAAGCTGCTGGGAACTCTGCAGCATGGATCAGTGGGAGGACTCTGAAATACCTCCCTGTGGGGAACCCGACTCAAAAAGGTAAGCTTTTGAAGACACCTTTTTGTGTGCGTGTGTGTGTGTGAGACTGAGGTCATCTTTGTCATCTGATTGACGTGTCCTCTGCTGTGGCCTGTTGGGCATAAAGTTCCCTGAAAGGTCTTATTCCACCACAGAGACGGGACACAGCCAACAGGACTCACTCCTGAGTCACAATTTGACAAAACATGCCTTCTGTTGGATGACCAGTAGAATTTCAATTTCAATTTCAATTTCAAGAATTTATTGTCATTGTCAAAAAAAACAACGAAATTGTGTTTGGGGTACAATAAAAGAACCAACTTGGATTAAAACCAGCAGTCTTTCTTTGGGCTTGCTGTTAAAACAAATGAAAAAATAGAGAACCTTCAGTCTTTGTTTTGCTGTTTTAGAGAAAAGCGGGTGCAACCTGAACAGCCTCCGACCCAAGCAGATCATCCACGGTCAGCAGGTAAAGTCCAGGCTCCACAGGTTTGGATATTAATTAGAGAAGGCCTCATAGCCCACACTGGAATGAGCAGTGAATTTAGTTCCACTGTGTTTGTCTTCACTGTCAGAGCTTAAAGCTGGAACAATACACTGATTGATTAGTCATTTTTACATCTTTGTAACATGTTTTGGAAAGTTTAAGAGGCTCATGTTGGTGACATCCTTGTGCAGAGAGGGAAATGGACCAAATGCGGCTGGAGTTTGTGAAGAGGGTCCCAGCAGAAATCCTCCGAGAGCTCCTTGATGCCCTCGTAGCAGACAGGGTCTTCAATCATTTGGAGGAAGAAGAAATAATCGAGGAGAACGCGACCAGAGCAAATCGGGCACGACGCCTCATTGATGATGTACGAAAAAAAGGAGAGAAGGCCTGCCGAGCGATGTTGAAACACCTTCAAACTTTAGATCCAATGCTTTTCTCTCAGCTGTGTTTTCAGTGTGATCCATCAACTCGAGAAGGTAAGGCCACATGTTCCTGTCAGATTGGATCACATGATGTCTTTATGAACTGAAATTTCTGAGAAGGAGGTCAGTGTGAGGCTGCGCGGAGTAGGGTTGTCAAAAGTATTGATACTCAAAAAAAGTATCGATACTAAAATGTTGTATCCGGATACGATACTCATTTTCAAAAGTATCGTAAATTCAGTAAAATTTTGGGGTCTTTGTTTTCATCCTTGTGGTATCGAAAGGTATCGAGTATCAAGTATTTTCCTGAGTATCGGTGTCGAGTTGAAAATTTTAGTATCGTGACAACCCTAGCACGGAGACTGTCTGCAAAGAGCCTGTTTTCAGCTTCTCAGAGCCTTTTTTCGGCAGTGCAGAGCCAGCTGCCGACTGCGCAGGGCCTGGTTTCGACTGCATGTGTCTGTATTAATAACTGCAACTGAGAGGACATTTTCACCACATTTTAAAGGATATTTCTGTTGAATTTTACACTCTCCTTGATGCTTCAGACACCATTCAGTAATAACGAATCTTTTTATCTCTGCTTATACCTCCAGACGCTGTTTGCGAGAGTCGGACCAAACTCAAGTCTAACCTCATAATGAATTTCCAGTGTGTGTTTGAGGGCGTTGCCAAAACCGGAAACCCGGCCCTCCTGAACCAGATTTACACAGAGCTCTACATCACAGAGGGGGGGGCTGCAGGGGTCAACGAGGAACACGAGGTCAGACAAATTGAAGCAGCTTCCAGGAATGCAGCCAGACCAGAAACAACCATCAGACAGGAAGACATATTTAAACGCCCACCTGGAAGAGAGCAGCCGATCAGAGTAGTGCTGACAAAGGGAGTGGCTGGCATTGGGAAAACAGTCCTGACACAGAAGTTTGCTCTGGACTGGGCTGAAGGCAAAGCCAACCAGGACATCTACTTCCTGTTTCACTTCACCTTCAGAAAGCTGAATGTGCTGAGAGGGAAACAGTTCAGCCTGCTGGGACTCCTTCATCACTTCTTTCCTGAGAGCAGAGGTGCAGGAATCTGCAGCTTTGCAGAGTTCCAGGTTGTGTTCATCTTTGATGGTCTGGATGAGAGTCGACTTCCTCTGGACTTCCACAACCAGGAGCCCCTGACTGATGTCACAGAGTCCAGCTCAGTGGATGTGCTGCTGACCAGCCTCATCAGGGGGAAGCTGCTTCCCTCTGCTCGCCTCTGGATCACCACACGGCCTGCAGCAGCCAATCAGATCCCTGCTGACTGTGTTAGCATGGTGACGGAGGTCAGAGGCTTCACAGATGAGCAGAAAGAGCAATACTTCAGGAAGAGGTTCCCAGATGGGGAGCAGGCCAGCAGCATCATCTCCCACATCAAGAACTGCCGGAGCCTTCACATCATGTGCCACATCCCAGTCTTCTGCTGGATCTCTGCTACAGTTCTGGAGCACAGCATGAAGAACGATCCTGATGGCGCTCTGCCCCAGAGCCTCACTGAGCTTTACCTGCGTCTCGTGGTGGTCCACCTAAAAAACAAGAACGTCAAGTATGATGGAGGAGCTGAGACGGATCTACACTGGAGTCCAGACAGCAGGAAGATGGTGGAGTCTCTTGTAAAACTGGCCTTTGAGCAGCTGCAGAGAGGAAACCTGATCTTCTATGAATCAGACTTAGCCGAATGTGGCATTAATGTCAGAGACGCCTCACTGTATTCAGGAGTGTTCACACAGGTCTTCAAGGCAGATCAGTGTCAAATGTTCCTGGAAACAGTTTACTGCTTCATCCATCTGAGCGTTCAGGAGTTTCTGGCTGCCCTGCATGTTCATCTGACCTTCACCAACTCTGGAGTCAATCTGCTTGAAGAAAAAAAGCCATCTTCCTGGATATCAAGATTCTTCCCAAAAGCTAATCAACAAGATCAACAAACTTTCCACCAAACTGCTGTGGAGCGGGCCCTTCAGAGTCCAAATGGACACCTGGACCTGTTCCTCCGCTTCCTGCTGGGCCTTTCTCTCGAGGCCAATCAGACGCTCCTACGAGGCCTGCTGACTAAGACAGAAACCAGCTGTCAGACCAATCAAGAAACAGTCCAGTTCATCAAGGAAAAGCTGAGTAATAAGCTGTCTGCACAGAGACGCATCAACCTGTTCCACTGCCTGAATGAGCTGAACGATCGTTCTCTGGAGGAAGAGATTCAAAGACATCTGAGCTCAGGACATCTTTTAACAGATACATTGTTGACTTCTAATTGGTCAGCTCTGGTATTCATCCTGCTGTCCTCAAAGGAACATCTGGAGGTGTTTGACCTGAGGAAATACTTTGCATCCGAGGAGGCTCTGCTGAGGCTGCTGCCGGTGCTCAGAGCCTCCAGCAAAGCTCTGTGAGTCGATGTTTGGTTTTAGTCGGTGATGAATGAGCCTCTTTCTGCAGTAAATGATAATTTACCTGCTCATCCTGCTTCTGTTTGCAGTTTGAGTGCCTGTACGCTCTCTGGCGAAGGCGTTGAAGCCGTGTCCTCGCTTGTCCGCTCTCAGTCCTCCTCTGTGACAGATCTGGACCTGAGCATTGAGGACTCAGGGCTGAAGCTGCTGTCTGAGGGGCTTCACAATCCACACTGCAGACTGGAGACTCTCGGGTCAGACTTCCTCATGTTTTTCATGTTGAATGTTTCAGCTTCATGCATTTCTGCTGAGCTATCATCCTCCATCTGTACAACCTCTGATGACACAGGAATATTTTCCAAATATTAAAAAACGTGTCATCAGGAGTACGTTTTTAATTTTACAGCCGAGTTTTGTTTAAAAAGAAGCTGAGAAAAGAGGCAAAAGAGGAACGCTGCTCTCTGTAAGTTTGATAGAGCAAAGAGGAACATACATCTTCTTCAAAGGTTTGCTCCTTTCTATTTCCTCCACAGGCTGAGCATCTGTAACCTGTCAGCACCCAGCTGTGGAGCTGTGTCCTCACTTCTCAGTTCCCAGGCCTTCCGGCTGGTCAGGCTGGACCTCAGTAACAGCGACCTGCAGGATTCGGAAAGGCAGCTGCTCTCTGACAGTCTGCAGAAACCAAACCACCTTCAGTCTGCCAGGTCAGCATTTTCTACATTCCGCAGATACTTTTGCAATCAGATAAAAAACAGTTATAACATCAGCTAACAGAAGCTACAGAGAACGTCACCACTGGTCCGATTCTGTTGGAGACCACAGTGGTGACTGTATGGTGATAGAGAGAAGTGCAAAAGGATTGGTAGAGGGGTGGAGGGGGACAGGGTAGGAATGTGGACTCTTCTGATGACCGGAAGGGGTGAGCAGTGACATCAGCCTTTGAAAGAGTGTTCAGATAAAAGGGAGCTTTACCCTGAAGCACTGGTTTGACGTCAGGTCGGAAGACCAATCAGGAGAGAGATGCAGGAGTCCATAGAGATGAGCACAGACTGACCAGGAGCTGGGGGGCATGCTGGGTTAGGGACGGCCAGGTCTTTCTGATGTTTAGAGATGCGAAGCGACCAATGAGCTGCCAGGATTGTTCTGTCATTAGATATGCAGTGACCACTGTGGGTCGGTGTGACTCTTCCTATCCTTAGGCTGAATAACTGCAGCCTGTCAGAGAGAGGCTGTGCAGCTCTGGCCTCGGTTCTGAGTGGCGGGACCTCTGCTCTGACCCAGCTGGACCTGAGCAACAACGACCTGAGGGATCCAGGAGTGAAGCAGCTGTCCGCAGGACTGGGGAGTCCAAGCTGCAGGCTGGAGGCTCTCAGGTCAGTCTGATGTAGGTCCAACGGTCCAGAAATGAGCTCAACTTGGGACCACAGGATGATAACATTTCCTCTGGGTCTGCAGTCTGTCGGGCTGCCTGGTGTCACAGGAAGGCTGTGCTGCTCTGGCCTCAGCTCTGACCTCCAACCCCTCCCATCTGAGAGAGCTGGACCTGAGTTACAACCATCCAGGAGCTTCAGGGATGGAGCTGCTGCAGGCTCTTGTGCAGGACCCAAACTGCAGACTGAAGACTCTCAGGTCTGGAGGAGCTGCTGCAGAGCCTGGAGCTCCATCTTTTGAATGTGTGCATGCTAGTCTGACCCCCTCTCCCCCTCTTCTTTCAGGTTGGAGCCTGCTGGAGAACGATGGCTGACACCAGGTCTGAGGAAGTGTGAGTGTGTTCTTCCTCTGATTCCTCACATCCAGCCATCTGCCCTTATTGATCAGTCTACAGATGCATCCACATCTTGCATCCAGCAGAGGCTTTAATCCAGAAAGAGGCTCTAACATCCAGCTCCACTCTTAGCTCAGCTTCGAGCAACATGCTAGAAGGGGGTTTAACATTAAGGCCTTAACCTCCAGCTAGAACATAGATTCCACAGGTAGCATCCATTGATGCTAAATGCTTTGAGGAAATAAGATCTATCTATCTATCTGTGTATCTGTCTATCTATACCCTATCTATATCTGTCTGTCTGTCTGTCTGTCTGTCTGTCTGTCTGTCTGTCTGTCT